CCTCAAGGTTATTATTTTGTGGTAGCCTGTCATCTAGTGGCCCCATTTGAGACCATGGCCCCGTTGTGCCAGGCAATGTTACAAACACCTGGTAAGGGACAGTCCCAGCATTAGTGGGTGAAGCGGGAGGACCCATTTTTGTCTGTCCTCCATGCAGAGGTGTAGGAGTGTGTGTCTGCTACCTAGCGTTGCAGAGCATGCCTAGTGCAGCTGGAACATTGAGAAAGCGAGGGCGTACGTCTCCAACAAGTTCTGCTGCATGTGTGCAAACAGCAACGGGCGACATTCTCTTCTGGAGAGGTTCCTGGCCTGTGCTCATCTAGTACATTATAAACAACGTGACTATGCATCTGGACCATGTTTTGGACTCTCATCCTCTCCCCAGGCGGGAAAAGGGTGTGCAGGGGAGTGACTTGTTTTGGTAGGGTATCTTTTTTTTTAAATTTATTTTATGTTAAATGTATATGTTGCTATGTATTTATGCTAGAGAAGGCGGCAAGGGCAAAGGCTTATAACTTAGCCGAACCAGGATGGATCTTTTTAGATTGTAAGCTCTGTGTTCTGTCTTTCTACAGCCCTTGGTACAATGGGGTGCCACTGGTCCATGACTGCAGCGTTAGGGCCTGTGGAAATACAAAGGATAACAACAAAGATCATAAAAGGCATATCTGACCCCAGAACCACCTACCCGTCCAATTGCTGCACCAGACGACGGTGGTGGAAGAGTTGTTTAAAATCTACAGTCAGGGCATCAAAATCTCCTTCTACGTGCTGCGGAGAGGCAGCTGTCCTGTACTGACCTCAGCCAAAGTCAGCCTGCTTTTCCTCTGCCTTGGTTACTAACGAGGAGGCTTTGGATGTCGGTTCAAACACCAGGCTCTGGTGAAAATATTTGCTGTGTCCTTCCGCTCCCACGTTGAGGGTGGGAATGGAAAAGGGCTTAATAAATCAGCACAGGAGAATTAATAAAAGGGACGGACACATGCACTGGACTCCAGGATTCGGTTTGTATCTTGGAGCTGAGTGCATGTGTCCCTCCCTTTTATTTATTAATTTTATTAATTTCCAGGTCGGAAAAGTCCCAAAGGGGCTTCTGAATTTCCCAGTGTTGGTCTCTTCCCTGCCCAGCCAGAGACTCCCCTTTTCCGTTCCTGCCTGCACACAGGCTGGCTGGTGCATTGGGGCAGCTGGCCACTATGCTCGGAGACGCACCTCTGGGAGACCGGCATGCCATCCCAGCTGTAGCCAGTGTTGCTTTATTCGGGGAATCGTATTGTCCCAGAATCTTGAGGGTCAGAGATGGAAGAGTCTCATTATGCCCAACTCCATACCTGGGTAGGACCCTTCCCGATAAGATGCTTTCTAGTGTTTGTTCAGATTAACTTTACGGGTCACTAGCAAAGGCGCTGTCAGATGCTGGCTGCTTTGTGGGCCAGAAAGTTCGACTGCCCTTGTGAGTGATCTTTCATGGAAGGTTTTGCCTTTCAGATGCTTCCCATATAATTTTATTTGAAGAGCGGGGTCATTATAACCACTGGGAGAAGAGAGGTGGGGATATCATGCGACTTAATGTCATACCGACAGTCAACAACCCGTCAAGCCCCCTGTTCCAGAGACCTGCTCTGGTTTGACTTATACGGAGCCGTGTGTTTATTTGCTGACATTTTTCCTGCTATTGCAGTTAATTCTTAGAAAAACAAGATGCAGGGAGAAGCATTCAGAAGACGCCACTACCCAGATGGGACATGCTGCAAAGTTAGATGAGTTGCAGAGGCCTCATCACCTTGAGAAGTGGCCTTTTCTCTTTCGTATATTATCTAATGCTGCCTATGTATTCTGACCTTGTAAGAGCTGAAACATCCGTGGCATGACCCGGAGTGACAGTGACAACAGATTAAAAACAAATACATAGAAAGCTTTGGGAGCGTGGGCGTCATTGGAAGAACAGAAGGGTGGAAAATATTTCTGGGTTGGTATCATAGGAAGCAGCCAAAGCATCAACATGAAAGATGAGTAAAAGGAAGGCGGGGAGGACATCTAAATAACAGGAGCCCGGTGGCGGTGCATGTCTCCCCCCTGTGTTCTGCCTCTGTACGGAGCTCTGTAGCAGCTGTTCGAACTACAGTACATACTGTACATTCTCCTGCTCTGGAAGCACATGATGTAACCTGTCCCCTTGTACATTGCAGGAGGGGACGTCACACTAGGAAATAAATGTGGTGATGGCAGTTTTATGTTTCACTTTCAGGCCCATAACGTAACAGATATGTAATTATTGAGACACCCGTAAAGTCTTTGTTTTTCCACTCTTCTTTTAGGTAGGCATGGCATGCGTGCGCTGGTGTATCCGTTCAGGCTATCTACAGGATCTGCCTCTTTGTTTCCTCTTTGCCCAGTAACCTAAAATGCTTCGTGTGAAGATAACGCTCCTCTCGTCTGTGTGTGTATTGTATCAGTGACAGCCAGCTCTGTACCTAGATACAAGAGACTGTGTGTGCATGTGTGGGTGTGTACGTAGATATGTAACGTGAGTTGGCCTGTGTTAACAAATCCATGCACCTGAGTGGGAAATATTAGCCAGCGTCATAATTAGAATAGCTTTAAAGGGACATCAACTGAAATCGAGCCCCTAATTCACGCTTTGTACAAAGGAGTTGCTGTATAAAATTTAAGAGCAATAGAAATGTTTCTCCAATTTAGTTTTGAAATGGCCCAGTGAAAAGCCTCTGCTTTAAAATATCCCCCTACAATGTTTGAGATCCAGGGATCCTGGCATTAAGAATCTGAAAGTGAACATGACATCACTGACTGCTATTTTCCAAGCTGAGGGAAATCCAAAAATGCAAACAACGGCCCTGATTCAGGAAAGCATCTATATTCAGGAAGAACTCTTAAAGTCCTATTGAAGTCAGTCAGACTTAGGCCCGTGATTTTAATTGTGTTCCTGACTTGGGGCCTTAGAGCATAAATAACACCAAGCAAACTGGATTTTAAAGTTTTTCGCTGCTAGTACTCAGAAGATCTTCAGCGCGGCCAGCTCTCCTGATTTTATGGCTAGTCTCACCATATTTGGGGTTTTTTTCTTTAAGGCCTCAGCTCCTGGAGTCATGTGATTATTTAAATAAAAGCTGAGATCCTTAAATAAAGTAAGTTTCTAGCCCTTGTGATTGTGTAGAAAAGTGTGAAAACATGAATCGTAAAGGCTCCAAACCAGAATGCAAAGGAAAGAACCCTTCCTGTTTTCATTTAAAAATGGCTTTATTATTAAGCTAGTCTCAGTAATTCTGGGGGCCGGGCTCATGATCTTTGAACCCTTGAGGTTGGCTGTCACAGTAAGAGAGGTGAATACATTTATTTGGAATGTGTGATTTTAGTAGCGGAATGTGTCCCTATAGATAGAGAAAGCTGATGACGTCTTATATTTATTTAAAGCGTGACAGAGCTCACGTTTTTGTGAGAGTTGCAGGGCATCAGTAACTTTTGCTGTGTGCTCCAGAGAACACAAATGTAAGTCATGCAGTCGATCTAGAACAGACAACATTGAACAGTTAAATTTTCAGGGTTTTTTTTTTTTAATGCCAACAAAGGCTTCTTGCGAGATGAAACGTTGCTATAAAAAGCTAGATGATATTGGTTCTAGTAGAGAAGGTTAGTCCAGCCATTTAGGGCAGTAGCTTTCGAAGCCAGCCTGCCTGCCATCCATTGCCCATTTTGGCTTGAGGCCCTTCAATATGAATAGACAGGGTGAGTGACAAAGGGCACGCACAGTCTGTTACGTAAAGCGAGAACACGCGCGTGCTGGATGACCATACCGATGTCTCGCCTGCTTTGCAGATGCCATTTAAAGAAAGACGTCCTCCCTGATCCGGAAAACATTTATCCCCTCTGACCCTGGAAGGCTTGCGGTGTTGGCTAATATCCAAGACTTTCTGCTTGGCTCGTGGCAATCAGGAGTGGATTTCAGTGAGCTCAAGGGCAAACTTCGAGATGTGAGTGGTCTGCAGCTCTACGCTGTGGTGAGGTTATATCCCTGCGTGGTTGGCACTTGCTGGAATGAAGGATGTGTTATTGTTGTGTATTACTGTGTGTGTCTGCTAGGCTGGTAAAATGGCCCGCCAAGCTCCCACCACCTGACTGGTGAGGCAGAGGCGGCTGTCGAGAATGAAGCCATTTGGTCCGCAGCACGGCACAAATTTTCCAGCTTCCGATCCCGTGTCGTTTTCCCCATCAGCCCCAACTCCTCAGGCAGCAGACTGGCACTGAAGTCTCTCCCAGGATAAAGGGGATGTGAATGGCATTAGATCCTTAACGAGGGTGATTTCTACTCATGGGCCAGTGACCAAAGATGGGGCTGGGAAGGAATTGTCTTCTTTCACTCATGCTCTGGCATATCCGCAGGGGTCTTCTGAGCAGGTGTTTTTCTCCTCTGAAGCATAGAGCTGGGATTACTCATTAGTGCCAAGGAAGCAGTGTGACCTAGTGGTCAGAGCACTGCACTGGGACTCAGGAGACCTGGGTTCTAGTCCCAGTTGGCCTGCTGGGTAACCTTGAGCAAGTTGCTTCCCCCCTCTGTGCCTCAGTTTCCCCATCTCAAAATGGGGATAATGATACTGATCTCCTTTGTAAAGTGCTTTGAGATCTATAGACGAGTGTGGATGGTTGGAATTTGATTGTTGGAATTCAGTCCTTCCCACCGCTCTGTTATTTAAATAGCCCAGCTCCATCTTCTGCAATCTCCTCCTTCCCCAAACCCATTCAGTCTAGCTTTCAGTGGATAGGTTATATTACTGCTGCCCAGGTCCCAGTGGCTCCTTACAGCTGGTTATTAGGGGAGTTCAACAGGTGCCTTTCCTCCTCCTTCTCATAAACCGTTTCCTAAAACCCAAATGACACCTGCTTTGAACACTGCCCTTTGGTCAGGCGAGTAAGATGCAGGTTAAATAGTAACAGAAAAATGTAAGTTCAGTTTCAGTTCAGTTTCAGCCTAGAGTAAAAATCAGTGGTAGCTTCTGCTCAACACACTTATTTCTGAAGAGTGTCCCACAGGCCAGAGGTTCCCAAATTGTGGGCCGGGGCCCAAAGGTGGGCAGCGACACAGTCCTGGGTAATCTGTCAGTGCAACTGCATTCTCCAGTCAAGCTCTTAGTAAATCTTTAACTCCATGTGACTGTGTAATCTAAGTAAAAGTTATAGAAATGTCATGTTTTGAGCTGTATATGTTGGACAGAGTATAGAAAAAACTTTATTTAAAAAAAACCACGTTGCAATAGGTCAGGTGTAATTCTCGCGAGTACAACGGTGCGTTTCACTGCAAGGTAACTTAGCAACGTACACGCAGCCCGCCGTTTACAACTGTAAAAACTAGCAAGCCATAGTTCAGTCTGACGTGGATCGATTTATTTTTTGAAAACGAGGCGGAGAAGATAACGAAAGTCCCAGGCCATCTACAACTACGCATACGGAGCCAGCCAAAGAAATAAAGTGGTAAGAAAATACGACAACGCAGACTTGAAATTTGGATTCTCCTTTACGCGATCAGATGAGTCCCCATTGCCTTAGTGTGTTATAATATAACTGTTGTTTTATATTTTTATTTACAATATTCGATTGTTTTCTAATTAGGATAGAGTAGGGTTGGATCTTACATCGCACAGAAATTCAGATTTTACTCTTAAAAAAAATGAAAACACAATATAGTGTTCAAAGTTGGACAACTGTTTCGTTTTAAAATCAACAAAAACCCACAGAGTTTTTAACAATTTTGTTAACATTGTTGTGTTGCTTATTTTTCCGTTTTATACATCGATACATTGTGTTTTCCCTCTTTGAACACCACAGTTGGCTCTTGACATTTTTTTTAAGAGCAGTTTTAGTAAAACTGTTTGGCCTCAAAGATCTTGAAGCATTTCTCTGAGTGCCTATTGCTCGGGATTTCTATTGTGACAGTTGTTTACATGAAAATGAGAGGGAAACCTGGAGATTGTTTGTTTACAATGTTATAGTTTATATGTCTGTAATCATTACAATGAATGTCCCTCAAGAAGTGTTAATAGTGGGCCAGGGTCCCTGTGGCAGCTGCACAGGTGGGCCTCAGGGGAAAAAAGTTTGGGAATACCTGCCACAAGCAACAAACTGAGATGTTTTTGCTCCTGGGGACTGCGAAAAGATAAAGCTCAGCTGGTTAAAGCAAACTGCCAGGTGCATTGGGTTTCACTTCTAGGCTGCAGGTTCAAGTCCGGCCCAGGTCAATAGTGACCAAAAGTCAACGTCTTATAGATTTCAAGGGCTGATTGGACCATTGTGATCATCTTGCTGATCTGCATAACCCAGGCCAGAGAACTTTCCAGAATAATTCCTTTGGAACTAGAGCATATCTTAAAAAATTCCAGTCTTGAATAATGTGGGATTGGAAACAGAGGCACGAAGAAATGAAGTGACTTGCCGTGGGTCACAAAGCAGGTTGGTGGAAAAGCTGGGAACAGAGGGCAAATCTCCTGCCTCCCAGCCCAATGCCCTGCCCACTAGCCCGGGCGAGCTTTTGTGAAAAGACTTTGGGTTCTTTGTGGACAGGTGTTTACATCAAAACAAGCACTTTCTCGGGCTCCTTGTCTGACATATTCAGCCGAGAGGCAAAGGGCTGAATGGTCCCTGGAGACCAAACTATCGCCTGCTTTCTTCCAGAGGAGATGCCTCCTGCTTCTGTTTTGAGGCATGTTGTGTTGAGCATGTGCTGTGTGTATTCTGTCAATAACAGGGCTTCAGTCTTCAGGTGTGTCGTTGTGTCTCCTTCCCTGAGCTCTGAACCCCATGCACAGACAGGCAAACGCATGGTAAGGACGACATCACTTTAAGACCCTTGCATTCCAGGTTCCCCTGGCAGGGCTGTGAGAAACAATGAAAGGTGCACACACCCATATCTACCAGTCAGCAGCTTTTGTGCGACCTAGTGGGACATAACCCCCAGCCTTAATGGATAAGCCAGGCGGTGACTGTGGTCTAATGGTGGGGTGTGGAAAGCACTCAGTGACCCCCTTGTGATTACAAGGGGGACAGGGACAGTGTTCTGTAAGTCGAGCTAATTTCAGAACAGAAATTAAGGTTGTCTTGGTTTTTGTTTTTCCTCTTAAAGGGCTCGGGGTTAGAAAGTCTAAGAAGAATAGGAAAGTTGGGGGGCTGGAGGGTTGATTTAAGGAGAAGTTCCTTTTCAGTTTTAAACCTTCCCCTACTGCAACCTGATCCCAGACACACCAGCTGCCAAATGAAATGGGTGTGAGGATTAAAAAGAAGCGGTCCCTGCTCGAGCACGCTCAAAAATTAAAAAGAAATTGGCCTCTGCCCTGCCAAGCTTCCAGCCTCTCCTTCAAATGACACAGCGGGCGGGGGGCAATAGCAGGGAGGGAAAGGTGAGGGTTACGCCAGGACAATCATGCTGGTGAGGCTGGTACATGCCTAGGAGCAAAGTGAACCTGACGAGTGCGGTTCCGCTGTCCAGCCTGAGCGAGGAACAAGCAAGCAAACCAATTGCACCAAGGGGGAGAATGCTTGAGCTTTTGACGCATTGCTTTGGCTTTGCTAACCTGCAGTGATGGTGCAGGAGCATTAAGAAATCCTTTTAAGACCCGAGCTTCATGTTTATAGTGTCACTGCAAAATAGATTCTTTGTACTGCCCGAGGCCCCGATCCTGCAGTTAGAGCCACACAGCTTGTACCCTGGGGCACAGCAGGGCCTGCACGTGGTCGCAGGGTTCCAGCTTGAAGGATTGGTACCGAAGTGTGATGCTGTCTCTATGCTCAGTGCTGCGAACTTGAGTTCTTTTATGGGTATCCAGTTAGTGCACTGGACTGGAAACCAGAAGTCGTGGCTTCTATTCCTAGCTCTGCCACTGATCTGCTGGGTGACCCTGGCCATGTCTCTGCTGCTGTCTGTACCCGTTTCCCTTCCCACATTTCATCTGTTTGGACTGTCATCCCGTTGAGGCAAGGTCTGTCTCTTGTACTGTGTGCTGGGAGGGATAGCTCAGTGGTTTGAGCATTGGCCTGCTAAACCCAGGGTTGTAAGTTCAATCCTTGAGGAGGCCATTTAGGGATCTGGGGCAAA